TTTTATGGTTGGGTGGTTTGAATTAGGTTTCAAACAAGGCCCATATATTACATTTGGTTAATAATTCTCTTAATTATCTTTATCTCTAATAGTCCCCTCCCTCTTTTTCAGTAGCTATCTACTTAAGGAATTGGGTTATGTGCCCTATTAGAATTTCAGATATTCTGGTTTTGGCTGATTGATTCCTTTTGTTATTTATATGTTTCTCTACCCACAGACTAGTTACCTTTGGAGGCTTAATTAGATTCACTTTTTTTTTCCTTTGGCAGTATTTCATAAGTTGTACTTTTACTTTTCTATCTCATTACGAGTACATGATATTCAGTTGTTCTCCACTTACTGATTTTAATTAAGATTGACCAGTGGGTTATGTAAAAATTTTGGCAAACATTACTGATCATGGCCTAGATCTGTTTTTTTAATTAGGGTTTGCAAAATGGTGATATCCCAATGCTCTTTTCCCCTCTGCTTCTATTAACTGATTATTCTATAAAAGAAATACTTTCTCTCATCTATTGGGTTACTCTAAAATGGTCAGTTTAGGAAAAACATCTCTTTTACCTAGTATAAATTATTATCCTGACAAACCAATCCACAACACTCAACCCTGGAGCTTTTCTCTCCTATACAGTGAAGAACCTTTTCTTATTGAAGCACTCCAGGTTATTCCAAATAAATGCTAAATGTATAAAAACTTAGTCAACAGATATTATATATCTAATGTGTGGGAGGTACTCTGTTGGGTACCAGTTATGATAGTAAACAAAATATATTCACTGCCTCAAAGGGCTTAAGGGACAAGTTAGGACCTCTCCCCTTTTATAACACTGTAACTACTTACCTAAGTGGTGCCCCTGGAGCTGTGCTGTCTAGAGAGGTTAGAGTAGGAAGGGCAATTGACAGATCGGTAAACTGGCAGTTTGTATATGATGGTGTAAGGGCTAGTGTTGGGGGAGATCAGGGAGTAAGTTTTAGAGTTTAAGTTGATATCTAAGGGATAAGTAGCAGTCATCTTGATGGATGAGTGGGAGGGATTGGAAGAAAATAACAGGTATAAAGGTAACAGTATGTACAGAGGCAGAAGATGAAGGGTAGCAGGGCATGTCTGGAATCACAGAGAATTGAGTATGATGGGACGTGGAATGGAGAGATGGGCTAGAATAGAAAAATGAGAGCAGGAACGATACACTGGTCCTTCTGCTGAAGGGCCCATTAAGGACATGATTTTATCGTGGGGGCAATGGAGAGCCACTGCATGGCTCTATGTGGGGCATTACATAGTCGGATTTGTGTATACAAAAAGTCCAGTAATGCATTTATTTTCTTGAACCTATGCACAAGGGTCTTGGAATTGGCTTCAGAGTGTCCTTGTCTAGGTGATACCCATTCACAGCCTCCGACAGACACAATGATGTAGGCCACTTAACAAAAGAAAACTGTTTTCACCAGGAGGGCCCTAAGTACCCAGTTTCGTAATCGAAGCCCCAGACACCTAATAGAAAAATACTAACAACACTCAGTGGGGTAAGTGCTGCTCTTAGATGCAGTTGAAAATTTTGCACTATCACTTTTTCCTCATGGGTCCTTGTGTATTTACAAACATACTCTCCATCTGAACCTCACTTCTTCTGTGTTCCCTTCCCTTTTACTACTATTATTTTCCTCTTATAATAGGCATTTCTGCTTCTGTCATCCCCTCGTCTTCCTTCTCAAAAGCTTATCCCATCCTTTAATACCTTCATTTTTTTCATGCTACAAGCCCCTCAAGGCTCCAGACTCAGTCCTCTGCATCATCCAAGGTCCAGGTACTAACTGCCTGTTCCTCCAGTGAGTGAGGAGTGTTGAATCCTTAGGGATTCTCAGATGCCAGAAGAGGAGAAGGCTATTTACAACCCTTAAAACAACACATGCCTCTTTTTGGACATCACCACACATTATTGATCAGACCTACAAGAATATACTGATGTACTTCTAATTGGACTCCCATAAATATGCTCTAAAAATAAAAATAACTTCCCATGAATATTAGAATAACAAGTATCAGTAATTATGGAAAACATATCAAAATGATACCTCATTCAGGTGGCTCAGATTGGGCAGTCACATTCTCAAACTTAAGAACCAGTATTAGAGATTTCCAGCTAGCTTTGACTTTATCTTAGAACGTTACCCAACTAAAACAAAGAGGAAAACATAAGACAGATTATTTTAAGATTATTCAAAAAGTGTCATTGCTAAATTTGAGTGTAAATATGTGGATATTGACCTAGATCAAAAACACCATTCTTACATCCCTTCCACACAGCATCAAAAGAAATCTGTGGTTTAAGTTTTAAGATTTTCTTTAAATTTTGTTTAAATTTTTAAAAATTCCATATAAAATTCTACTATATATCTTTAAATTGAGATCACTAAATATATCTCCAGCTCAAGCATTTATCTGACTAGATTTTAATGACCCAGTTTTTATTCTGAATTTCACTGTATCATTCCCATAGTTTTCTTTTCATAATAAAATGGAACCCAGTTTCATCAGTTACACAAAATCATCTTTCAGCAGAGGCCTTGAGTGTAGAGTAGAATGCCCATGTTAGCTGCCACCCTACTGGAGTCTCTCAGGCTTTTTCTCCCTTCATCACAGGAAAGGTATTCTTTCAAGCTGAGGGAATTCCTAGATTTCTTATGAGTGTGCTCTAGCTCTCATACAGAACTCATTGGGAATAGTCTCCCGTTCTCTTACTCTCCTGCTTGAACCTTCAACCTGTTCTTGGGCTAACACTGCCTGACAGTTCTGCCATTTCTGATTTCTTTGTAAGTTGCAGATTCTTCCATCAGACTAGTGAGTATGTGACTACATAATCAATAATTTGGCTTATAGACTCAGGATATGTAATTGCTACAGTGAAAGTGCCTCCATCATCAAGTGGCCAAAGTGCTTTTCTAAGGCCAGTATGTGAATGAGATCTTATCAGTCTATGCATATCACTTGTTTTGGAACTGGATATCCTTGACTCACCCCTGCAATACCTTCCCTACTCCCAGTCCATAAATCTTTTACTTTGAGCGCATTATTTTTCATTATATTCAGTGGCAGCCTATTCTAGGTATGGTTTTAATCTTTTACAGTTACTAAACCAAGGAGATTTAACTGAAAGGCGAACATGAGCGTGCGTGCTGACTTCTGGAAGAGCAGCTCTATCTGATCCCAGACTGCATGTAACAGGAACAGGATGATTATGGCTCACGATCTGCCAGAACCAAAATGAATCTGTGAAGGACAGGACCCCATTTCTGCCTCTGCTCATCTTTTCTGGCATAGAAGATGAATGTAGGAGAGCCTCTTTCCAAACTACCATCTGATCCAGACAAGGAAGAAAGCAGTGAATGTGCGCCGGGTGACTGTACCTACCTCTCTTTCCACTGCAAAATTTTGGGATGAACTTCTCCCCAAAGTGAATTTGATTATGTGTTGGCTGAAGTTTCTCAGTATGATTATTGAGAGGAGATTTTCCATTGAGTTTTCATCTCAGACTCAGCTTTTTCATGGACGAACTGAGTCCTACCACTAACTATAAGACTTCACCAAGAAGTTGAGCTGTCAAGATGCCTTGTTGCTTGAAGGGAGTGATGTCAGTTCTGTTGTGATATTCTCCCTTTAGCAACCTGAGTAAGGGACTCTTCACCACTGGGCTGCAAAAGAATAAATTACTTGAATACCTACTTGGCGTAGGCTGAGGTACTGTCTTGTTTTATACACCTCTACTTGGTCACTTTGCTTTCTTGGTTTATGGAACATACAGTAGCATGTTAAAAAGATTTTTTTTAAGTTAAAAATCACATGATTCAGAGCTTCAATTGCTTTCCCTTTAAATAAACAAAACAGCCCAGTCCTTTGGCTTCTTGCTTTGGACAAAATTAATTTTCTTAGAGAGGAGATTAATAGTTCAGTCTTCCTCTTTAAGATAGCACTGATTTTCCTTTTGATTCCATGCGGGTGGTACCATCTTGATACCAGTTCTGTGGTAAAACTGAGCTCAGGAGTTTTACATGTCATATTGGGGAACATGACATGAGCATCTTCATCTCTTAACTAGCAAACCCAGATGGTAATTATCATAGTTACCAGAGTATCATTCTGTCATCACCAGAAAGTACCAGTGTCAGAGTCTGGGAAAATGGCAATAATACCAGATACTTTTGAATTTTTCCAGAAAGTCAAAAAAAAACATGAGGAAGGTGCTTCTGTCAGAGTAGGCCCTCTTGCTTTCATCCAGTCTGTACAGCTACGGATAGAGAATATCTTATTGGTGAGAAGAAAAGTGTCCCAAGGTGACTTACTAGTAGAAAATCACAGCTGTCAGAGGTTTCAAATTTATTTAAAATGAACATCATGCTGATACACGCATATACATGCACAGTAGCACTTTCTAAACAGATAACAGGAAATAATTAACTGCTGTTTTAAGTGAAGTGATTTAAGTTCTTTATTTGTTAATGACATGCGTAATCATCCTGTGCTAAGTAGATTGTGTTCATGTCACTTCCTTGTATTCTCAAAATACCAATTTTTACTTTCTGTAGCTTTACTTTTATACTAGAGGAGTGGTTCTCAACCGGGGATATTTTTGCCCCCCCNTCACAACCAGGGAGAGGGATGTTGCCAAGGCATCTTGAATGAGTAGAGGCCAGGGATGCTGCTAAGGGTACATAACAGCTCCCTCTCCCAGCACCTGACAAAAAGTCATCTGGCCCAAAATGTCAAAAGTGCTGAGGTGAAGAAACCCTGTACTAGAAGTTGCAAACTTGATATCTTCTGAGTGTTTTGTTTTGCCCACACAATATTTCTAAGCAATTTTTTAATTAGTTGCCAACATGCAAATTTCTGGCTTCTGTTGAAAATGTGGTTGATCTGCAATTCTGTGCCTGTATTCCAGCAGACTCCACAGTGTCTATCTTTTGCTACCTTGTACCCAGCTCATTTGATCCATTTGTTTTACTAGCCCCTGTAGGCATTTGGGCTTCTGCTTTTTTTTTTTTTTTGTAGCTAAGTGTGAGGCACAAAGCAAGAACCCTTAACTCAGCTCTGATCCTTCCACCCTGTCCTTCTCCACTTTGTTCCCTGAACTATTCCCTGTTACCTGCTCTTTTCATTTCTCCAAGAGTAGCCATGACTCAAAACCTGTTTTGCCTGCCTTGAGTCAACCCCAAGTTAGCTGCTTATTATTATTAAAAAGCAGTGCTTTTAAGTGTACTGATTAAGCAAGTGATTTGAGATTATCTAGCACTTCATAAGGTAGTGCCTCCAGTTCTTCCTTGGGACTTGTAGGCTGTTCTAAAGATTCTTCTAAATCCTGCAGATTTCTGATGCCGGGCTTTGTAGTTTCATGAGTGCTGCAGAATAAATTAAGGCATTATGAAATAAAACATTTTTAATTAAAAAAGCATATGTAAGGCTTAAGGATGGTTTCAACATTTTCATTATTTTATATGGGGTGTAAAGAGAAATTTCTAGGAGGAAAACTGAAATAGGAATTAGGGGAGGAGCCATTAGGATTTCAGAAACAAAACAAAATTGGGAATAATGGAGATACTGTGGTACTAAATTCCTTGTAAAGAGTGCTATATTTTAACAAGCCATGGTGACCATTCTGAGGAGAAAGGAAAGGTTTTGATTTGTTCAGGCTATTATAGCTGTTATTGTGGCTCTATAAAGGTTTTTGCTTTCAATTACCCAAAAAATAAAGAATGCTAGAAAAACAGTTTTATCCTTTTATAGGGGTAAAAGTATATACATGACTTGCCTTCAGAAGTGAAGTGGAAGTACTTTTGATTGATAGCATTGGAACTGGAACTGGAAAAATGATGTTTCAAATTGAAGGATTCTAAACCTGATACATAATGCTTATATTTTATTCAAAGTACACTATTCCAAATTTAAATGTGTTATTTGGAAATCTCTGGATTAATACTCTATATAGGATTATGATCTCAAAATATGAGTGGATATTCTAAAGGTTCTTCCCAGTGGCATTAGGAGGGATGCCAAATTGAGGGATGCAGGACAATAGCAGCCTCTCAGATTACCTGGGACAGTCATGGACTTCCGACTGCTCCTTCCACTGTACAGCCTGGGTGCCCTGACCCTTGTTCCTCACAAAGTCTTCATCCACCCCAGCCTGCTTCAGAGTGTCTCGATACCGTTGTTCTGCTTCTTTCCTGGCAATGTCCTGTGGAATGGCAATTAATCTGCTATGGCTGTTTTTGGATTACCAGATAATTCTAAATTACTTGCTTAATCTGTATATTTACCATAAAGTTTTCACCCCTAGCCCCCATTAGTGCTGGGCACAGATGTGCATGAAAATTATGAAGCCTTGTTTTCAAGCCTTAAAGTACATAGGAACTACCTACAGATTTTGTTAAAATGCAGATTCTGATTTGGTAGGTCTCAGATGGAGCCTGCAATTCTGTGTTTCTAACATTCTCAGGAGGTGCCAACTGTTGATTTGAGAGCCACACGTTTGAGAAGCAAGGATTCAGATTTTTGGAGGACCAAGTGAGACCCACATGATAAAGGTGGACTAAAAATATTTTTAAGATTTAAAAGCAACCAAACTATCTTCAGGAACACTAAAATAAAACAAATAGAAAAAAGCTGCACTGGTAACACTCCTAACAGGATAGATGATTTGCATGTGAACCAGAAAAAGTTATTTTTGTTTTAATTTAAATGTTCCAGAGCAAAATCATACTGTAGTTTGTGTTTTTTGTAGAGTGGTGAAAGACCTGTTGAGATCTGAGAATGAACTTGCTTGAAAAACATTAAAATAAGTAGGAAAGGTCATTATGAGAGATTTTGAACAATGCAAGTTGCTGAGTAAATCCAAGACTGTGTGTGTGTCTGTGTGTGTGTGTCCCAGAAATGCCTAGATTGTGCACTGGCTGTAAGACAGAGAAGGCCCAGCAGTTAGAACCAAGTCACTACAGAAACCCAAGTAGTGTCTGAAACTCTGGAGAGGAGAGGGATCTGCAGAGGCTGATGCAGCCAAAAGCTGCCTGGGATGTTGGCCTTTCTAAGGCTGTTGAAGTAGCTCCAGAGCTTTCACAGGGAGATTTCACCTGAGTTCAACTTCCACTTGTTTGGGGGAAAGATAATAGTGGTAAATTTAGAATGTTTCTGAGCTGCAAGGAAATGTTTAATACCAAGATATTATTAAACTGTTCATCATTTCTAAGAGCCCTTTCAGCCAAGATGGAAAGAAAACGAATGATGGTTTCGTTTTACCTTGGTAACCTGTTCGAAGAGGTAAGGCCTTGTTTGCAGTCTCTTCTTCATTTCCTCTAATTCTTTCTTATATTCTTTGGCTCTTTTACGGTCATTGTTCCTGGAATTAACAAGATTTTTTAGAACAAATTCTTTTTCCAATCAAAAATATGCTTCATTCCAATTAAGCAGAGTAACTCCCAAAGACTTTGTAAATTCCTAAGTGCCTGGCAAAATCTTTGACTCTGTACAATTACAGAAGCATATTCTAATAACTCCATTTTTCCATTTTCAAGACCAGTAATCTGTTGAATCCCAAGACAGGCACCTCTTTAACACATGGGACACTGACCGATTTTCTTTCAACTTTGCTCTGAACACCTCCTCCAGGCTTTTATGGGGATCCATGGCTTTTGCACGCAAAGTCACAGACTGAGACAGTGCTTGACACTTCTTTTTGTGCATTTCCAACCACTGAGTACTGTCATCTGCTTTGTCCTTTTTTTCAAGTGAATTTCTAAAGGGAGGAGGAAAAACAGAATATGGGCATATTCAAAAGCAACCTTAATAACCTCTCTGGAAAGTAAACTGGTGTTTGCTATAAATGAGGGGAGTAATCTACTACACTGGCATTCCAAAAAGAGTAAGACTGACATTAAATGCACTGGCAGATGAAGCCTTCCCGGCACTATGGACATAGAGAAGTTGATTGAACTGGAACACGTGAGTTAAAATATCCTTACACTCAGCTTCTTGCCTATCTGGAAATGAAACAATTCCAACAGCTACCATTTGCTGAACCAAGTGCAGACAGGCACCAATAAGTGCTTTATATCTATTATCTTTTATAATCTTCATAACTGTCCTGTGAAGTAAGGACTGTAAGACCCCCTTTTTTTATAGGTGAGGAGATCAAGCTTCAGGAAAAGCCACTTGCTCAAAGTGACCCAGCATGCCAGTGGGCAAGCCAAGATTAGAACCAGAATGTCTGACGCCCATGCCGCAGCCCTTGACTACTGCGCTGTAAATGATGGGCTGGAAGGTACCTGGTTTCAGGGTCCTCTGAGAGTACAACTGCATTTCTATAGCAAACTGGAATAGGCCTCCTTCATTGCGCAATTTGGGGGCAACTTGCAGCACTTACTTTGTGCAACTGTCATTCTACCAGGTACTGTGGAGAGTTCTACCAAAAGAAAAGACCATCTAATGCTGATGGGCGGTGACTGTAATGGGGTATGTGGTGAGGACTTGATGATGGGGGGAGTCTAGTAACCATAATGTCACTCATGTAATTGTAGATTAATACCAAAAAAAAAAAAAACCATCAAGACTTGCCTTTGGATATTTACACCTAAATGGACAGATTAGGAAGAAAGGCATGAAAGTTTAACCTGCTATACATCAAACTCCCTATTGCTGGGAAGCAGATGTGAATGTCCAGGTGGGCCAGCCTGTGGTTCATGAGATCTATCTTATTGGGACCTCAGGACAGTGATGCATTTAGCCTTGACTTAGTAGCTCTGGCTGAAACAGGAGGGGAGTATCCCTCGGGTTCTCAGTACATTTCTAAAATCCCAGTTGTGGATCCTAAAGAGCTAAGTACTAGAGCCGCACAGGAAAGTACCAAGGTGCTAGTCCTCCCAGGGCTAAGCTGCTTGCATTTATACCACAACCTCTCCTGCTGATTTCAGCTCAGGCCTAGTGGGGGAATCCTTGCTGGAGTGCTTCCTTCATGAGAACAGCATTATAGAGTCAGGTCAGTTAGAGTTAAAAAATAAGGACTAATTTCTGATAGTTCCCAAGATGAATCTCAGAGAATCTCAAATCTGTGCAATGTATGGCCCATCTTTGTGGCAGGGTCAGCTTCTCTGAATTCCTGTTCCTAATGGCTTCCTCCTTCATTATCGGTCTTTACCCATGTTGTTTGTCTGGAACATTCTTTCCTTCCAGACTTTGCTAACCCCTCACTCATGTTTCACCTTAGACATCTATTACTAGAGACACCTGCCCCAGGCTGCCCAGTGCTCCCACAGTCCCCTGTATTCCCTCATCATTGCACTGCTCACAAAACATGGTAACTTCTTTGCTTTTCTGTATTTGAGACTGAAACTATATTGAACTATAGGTTCCATAAGGTATCTCCAGCCTTAACATAGTGCCTGGTCCAGAGTAAGTCCCCCACGAAGATTTGCTGAGTGATGGCTTAGGTATTCTCCAGCACTAAATGTGGAGGACTACACATGTTTCTGTCCTGATCAGGGATTTCCCTTCCACCCTTTTAGGGCTCTAATAACAGAGGAGATCCAACGTCAGGGTGGTTTCCAGCATTGCACCAAGATCTGAGTAGTATGAGTCCCATGTGGCCTGACCACTCACCTGACTGCAGTTTCCCTCTTCCTGGTGGCATCTGTGATGTGCACGGGGAGGGTGTTGGCAGAGAGGGAAGCAAGTCCACTCAGAGAACGACTCCTCAGCAGGGTTGTGGCAGGGGGCTGTGGAGAGTCCTAGAAGAAACAAAGGCTGGTATTGGTGGGACAGCATGTGTGGTTAGTTTCTATCTTAACTAGGGTTCAGTTTCAGTGAAAGCCTAGTCAGACTGAGGAACTTCTTTTCCTGGAATTAAGGCAGGGTAATGCAATCTCAGGCTTAGTAACCAGGCCAAGACTTGTATATCAGTCCGTAAGTTTTTTAATCAAATGAGAAGAGTTCTTTGGAATTGCCACAGGGACAAAAACAATTGATCCCAACTCCAGTGCCTTCTAGACCTGCTTGGACTTTTTTCTGTAATACCCTCTCTAGAAAAATTCCCTCTAGAAAGGGCAGTAAAGGAAGAATTCTTGTGGTCTTAAGTTTATAGGAATTGTGCATCTGCTTACAGTTGAGCCACTGTTTAAAGAAGAAAGAAAAATGTCATGAGAAGTGCCTTCCATTGAGACCTGACCCCTCCCTTACTGGGGCCTCAGGCCCTGGCCCTCCTGCAGTTGCTTGGACTCACCCTCCTCCATCCTGAGGTGGCGGCATCACAGGGCTGCTGAGAGCGATGCAGGGTGGCGGTTCTCAGCACGAAGGGCTTGTTGTGAGTCACCTCTCTGGTGTCCCTTCTCTTGGCAGCTTTTCTCTGGAAGGCCTTGTAAAGACCCTCATAGTCGGGGATGGCAGGATTCACATGAGGCTGGAATCTAAAGTCAGTCTGCAGAAACCCAAGCTTCTGTTCCCAGGTTCGGGTGGCTGTGCGAGGCTGTGGGTCAGCCCGGCTACTGGAGGAGGCGATGGGGGAGGAGGCCATCTGGAGCATGTTCAAGGCTCTCATCTGGATGCGAATTTTCCTGAAGAGCTCAGCTTCTGTGAAGAAGAAGGGTGATTATGGTTGAGAAGGGACCAAGTTTCATACCAAAAGGTTTGGAGAATGTTAACTCTCTAATAAAACACTTAACAGTAGTGTGCTGGAGACAACTGCTAACTTCTCAGGAATTTTGTGAGCAGTTGACATCATGTGGGAAGCTTGAAATTGATCAGGATAGGAGTATTTATACCAGGGAAAATGGCAAGCACCACCAATCAGCTTGCTTTTTTTCCTTTTTCTGGAGCACTCATTAATAAATGTCGACCAGACACCACTGCCATGTGCCAGTCAGGCTGCAGAAGCAGCTACCATTTTCACTTAGCACTTTCTAAGGTTACAGAGACAGTAAAAGGAATGGGCTGGTCCCCTGCCCTCTCCCAGGTCTCCTATCTTGGAGTAAAGCCCGGGCATCTACCCACTGCCCACGCCATCGCCTGATATTCTCACACCCTCTCTCATCTCATCGGTCCCATGTTCTGCCTCTCCTAGCCCCTCTCCAGTCCAGCCTCTTCTCATCATCCCTGCTTATAATTTCATCATTTCTCAACTGAATTGTAGAAACAGTTTCCTGCAGATCCACATCCCCCAGTCTTGCCCCTCTGCCTTCTGTCACCTCCAGGGCAATCACAGCCATCTTTCTGAACTACACATCTGACCACAAGCTGCTCTACTTAAACCCATCAATGGCTCCCCAGTGCCCTTGCGATGAAGTCCACATTTCCTCCCATGGCCTACAAGCCCCTAGCCTGGCTGTGCCTGCCGTCCCTTTCCCAGTCCCACTTCTCTCTACCCTCTGCCTTTCCATTCCTTGGACATGCTCAGCTTTCTTATCTCCATGCGATTTTCTCCACCTGGCACGCAATTCCTCCCTCTTCACCAAATTAACCATGGTTCATCCTTCAGGGTCAACCTCAGCGCTCACTTTCCTGGGGATATTCCCTAAGTGCTCCTTCTCACCACTGCTATATGCTCCCGAGGACCCTCAGGCTTTCCCCTTTAATCCTTGCAAAGGACTCATCACATTTGTAATTATTATCTGTCTTCCTCCATGTCCACAAACCCTACATCTGTTTATTCACCATGGGATGCCTGCAGCATTGCACATGTTCTGAATGAGTGAGAGAAGCCTGAGTCCCTTAATGGAGCCATACTTCTTGAAACATGTATCTCATCCAGATGGGGGGTGGGAGGTTGGGAGCTTCCTTAGGGGCAGTTGGCACTGGCCTAAACTAGTCCTTGAAGTCTCTGTGGTTCTCTGACTTGCACCTGTGCTGTGGACACCTTCACATTCACTCACTGAGAGAGGTCAACAGGACAAACTGGGCAGGAGGGGGGCGCTGTTCATCCTGAGGTGGCGGCATCACAGGGCTGCTGAGAGCGATGCAGGGTGGCGGTTCTCAGCACGAAGGGCTTGTTGTGAGTCACCTCTCTGGTGTCCCTTCTCTTGGCAGCTTTTCTCTGGAAGGCCTTGTAAAGACCCTCATAGTCGGGGATGGCAGGATTCACATGAGGCTGGAATCTAAAGTCAGTCTGCAGAAACCCAAGCTTCTGTTCCCAGGTTCGGGTGGCTGTGCGAGGCTGTGGGTCAGCCCGGCTACTGGAGGAGGCGATGGGGGAGGAGGCCATCTGGAGCATGTTCAAGGCTCTCATCTGGATGCGAATTTTCCTGAAGAGCTCAGCTTCTGTGAAGAAGAAGGGTGATTATGGTTGAGAAGGGACCAAGTTTCATACCAAAAGGTTTGGAGAATGTTAACTCTCTAATAAAACACTTAACAGTAGTGTGCTGGAGACAACTGCTAACTTCTCAGGAATTTTGTGAGCAGTTGACATCATGTGGGAAGCTTGAAATTGATCAGGATAGGAGTATTTATACCAGGGAAAATGGCAAGCACCACCAATCAGCTTGCTTTTTTTCCTTTTTCTGGAGCACTCATTAATAAATGTCGACCAGACACCACTGCCATGTGCCAGTCAGGCTGCAGAAGCAGCTACCATTTTCACTTAGCACTTTCTAAGGTTACAGAGACAGTAAAAGGAATGGGCTGGTCCCCTGCCCTCTCCCAGGTCTCCTATCTTGGAGTAAAGCCCGGGCATCTACCCACTGCCCACGCCATCGCCTGATATTCTCACACCCTCTCTCATCTCATCGGTCCCATGTTCTGCCTCTCCTAGCCCCTCTCCAGTCCAGCCTCTTCTCATCATCCCTGCTTATAATTTCATCATTTCTCAACTGAATTGTAGAAACAGTTTCCTGCAGATCCACATCCCCCAGTCTTGCCCCTCTGCCTTCTGTCACCTCCAGGGCAATCACAGCCATCTTTCTGAACTACACATCTGACCACAAGCTGCTCTACTTAAACCCATCAATGGCTCCCCAGTGCCCTTGCGATGAAGTCCACATTTCCTCCCATGGCCTACAAGCCCCTAGCCTGGCTGTGCCTGCCGTCCCTTTCCCAGTCCCACTTCTCTCTACCCTCTGCCTTTCCATTCCTTGGACATGCTCAGCTTTCTTATCTCCATGCGATTTTCTCCACCTGGCACGCAATTCCTCCCTCTTCACCAAATTAACCATGGTTCATCCTTCAGGGTCAACCTCAGCGCTCACTTTCCTGGGGATATTCCCTAAGTGCTCCTTCTCACCACTGCTATATGCTCCCGAGGACCCTCAGGCTTTCCCCTTTAATCCTTGCAAAGGACTCATCACATTTGTAATTATTATCTGTCTTCCTCCATGTCCACAAACCCTATTCACCATGGGATGCCTGCAGCATTGCACATGTTCTGAATGAGTGAGAGAAGCCTGAGTCCCTTAATGGAGCCATACTTCTTGAAACATGTATCTCATCCAGATGGGGGGTGGGAGGTTGGGAGCTTCCTTAGGGGCAGTTGGCACTGGCCTAAACTAGTCCTTGAAGTCTCTGTGGTTCTCTGACTTGCACCTGTGCTGTGGACACCTTCACATTCACTCACTGAGAGAGGTCAACAGGACAAACTGGGCAGGAGGGGGGCGCTGTAGGACCTCTTGCAGGGCTCTACCATTGTGCAGCTAGACCCTGCCCTATCCCCTGGCTGCCCTGAGCCAGAAGCGAGTGGGCCCACCTGAACAGCACATCTCCAAGCTAGGTGACCCCTCAGCCTAATGAAATCCCCACAGCACCTCTTGATACCCCATGCAGGAGGTAGCAAGGTGACAAGGATGTCTTTACCTTACCTTGGAGTTTTTCCCCGAGGGCTGGCTCCAGAATGGACCTGGGGATCTTTCTGGTAGCCTTCTTGGGGACCTTGACTTTAGCTGTGGCACCCAACTCTCTCTGTTGAGCAGCTTCCTTTCGCTGTTCCTCCTTCACCAGAAAGCTGAAGGGCTTCAAGGAAGAGAGGAGCAGTTCCTTCCTCTTCTGGATCCCTGCCTGCCTGCGGGCCTCGTTGCGCTCCATAATCTCCTGGTAGAGGGGCAGGTAGACATGTGCAGGTACAGGTTGTGCCCGGAACTGCCTGTGGCACTCGGCTTCCTCCTGACCCTGTCTCTGGGCCTGCTGCTTCTCATGCTCAAAGGCAGCAGGGGAAGCCAGCCACTGGGCCTTCTTCCGGGCCTCACGCAGCGTCATGCTGAATGGCTGAGGCACAGTGATGGACGATGCCCAGGAGCTGCCGCTTCTGTGCTGGGAGGGAGTCCTGGAGCCTGAGGGTGGCTGGGGCTGAACCTTAGGACTGTCAGAGGAAAGGCTGCTCAGGGAACTGCAGCGCCTTGTGGAGTCACACCTAGGGGGAGAAAGCATCTCTGTGCATGGAGGCCAGGGCCACCAGGAGGCCCCTCTCCTCCTGAACCCTTCTCTCGCTCCAACCCAGTCCTCCCTTCCAGCAGGTCACAGGTAGCTTCTCGGCCCCTAAGCCTGCAGGCCCTCTCTTTCCCACAGGAGGTCTCTTCTCAGAACTGATTCAAGAATTGCTACTTTGCACTCTAAAATGTTTTCATATGGGAGTGAGAACAGTGCAGTGGAGCACTGCAGGGCTTTGGAGTCAGACCTAGGTTCGAATTTTGTTTCAAACAATTGCCATCTGTGTGATCTTAAACAGGGTTCTCTTGGAACCTCAATTGCCTTCTCTGTAGAATGGCAAAAACAGTATCTGCTTACAGAGTCACTGGGAGGAGAAAATAAATAAAAAATGAGATGAAGTACACACACACATAATAGGGTTTGGTCAAGGTAAATATACCAAGTTGTCATTCTCAGGGAGGTACTGTGTTTGGTAAAGTCATCTCTTTAATCAGCTCCAAAGCTTCAGATGACTCAGGGTTAGCTAAAGTGACTTAGAACACATTTGGATCCAAAGGCTGGTTCTGAGCCTGGAGCCTGAGTAAGTGGCAACTTGCAGAACTGGTCTTCACATGACTGAAGGAGAAGATGAGGCCCAGAGTTGTGGCATAACTTGGCCAGAGCCATGCAGTGAGGCAGCTTTTGAACTGCAGCGCCTTACCTCAGAGACGGCGGGTATTGGACCTGCAGCTTCCCCTTGCCTTTGTCTTGGAAGAAACTCTCCAGGTCCTCATCATCTTCAGAGAGGTTCTCATCACTGTCTGGGTCAGACTGAAAGATGGATTCCAACAGGCACCACTTGCCTTTCTGCTTTAGTACCTGCAGGGTCTCATAAAAGCTCCCAGTTGAGTCAGGAGTGGAATCTGTCTCCTCCTCTAGGCTGAGGAACTCATTGAGTTTCCCAGCCCTGGGCAAAACCAGCCCATCCCCAGAGAGCACTTCTTCTGCCTCTGTGTCTGAGGAAGATTTGGGGGGAAATATCTAAAATGAAATAGAATAGAAATGAGTCAAACTATAATTTCAAATGTACTCAAAACATGACTTCACTTTAAATAAACCTTTGTATTTAGAAACTGGGAAGGAACAACAAGATATGTGTACCTTGCTTTAAAGAAATTTTACCAATTGGTATATAGGATGTGCTTGGTTGAAGGGCCGGAAGGAGAAGCAGAGAGTGAAAGTTGGTTCCCTTCTTCACGCAGTGCAGAGAGCATTTGCAGCTCCTGCTCTTCCCCCTGCAGTCTGCTCCGTGCACTATGGAATCCTACCTGGCCGCAGTCTGGGCCCTGCCCTACTTGTGTCTTTCCTTCTTGTGCAAATCTTTTTCCTGCTTCCCCTGTTTATACCTCTACTTTCTTCATATTCTAGCTAATTTCCACTCTGTTACTAGGAATGGATAATTAATAGGAGAGAGAACATGGTCTAGCTGAAAGAACAATGTCCTAAAAAATGGGAAACCCAACCAGGTTTAAATACTCTATTCAGAAAATATTTATTGGGTGCCTAATGTGCACTGGGCATTAGGCTGAGAACAAGACAAATGTCACTACTCTCCCTTCTAGTAAAGGGAGACACACAATAAAATAAATTCAATGAAACCCACAAAACTATGAGATTATAGAGTAACAGAGTAGCTGTAGGAAGCTTTTCTGTTGATAAAAGCTCATCAGATAAAGATCACTAGGAATGTACCTCTAATCAGTTGGGTTTATTAATCTGCTACAGTAGACCACGGAAAATTATAGGGGATTTGGTGAGGGGTGCAGGTGAGGGCTTTCAGCAAGAGGGTGTGTCTGTGGGTGGCTATTTCTAGGGTTGGTTTGTCCTGAATGGTTCTGAGGAGGGTTATGGGCCACAGGGATAGACTCTGGGTGGATGCTGTCAGGAAGAGGGCACAGTTTTGTAAGTGGGCAATTGAACAATTTTTATTCAAAAGATGACAAGAACAAAGTGGGGCTGGGTAGTAATTGATAAGTAAGCACAATTATTTAGAATAAGGGGGTATTAGTTATTTTGCAGGTACGGTGTGGCCCTGTGAACTTGCTGCTGGCACTGTCTATGTCTATTACAGTCTGAGTTGTAATTTCTCAGTCCTGGGCTGGTTTTTACTTTTTCACCATGGAAGAGTTGTGGATTGACCCCTTACCGATGAGAAGGAGCCAGCTTTGCTGAGATCTGGGATAAGAGGGGGTCTCAGTTCAAGGAACAGCAAATGCAAAGGCCTTGAGGCAGGCACCTGAGGAACACACTTGACCCTTGGAGAGAAAGAAAGAGGGCCAGTGTGGCTGGAGAACAGTGGCATGAGATATCCTTAGCGAGGGAGGTGTGGGGCCAGGATCAGACTGTGTAGGCTGACTGATTGCAGCTGGAAACCAGTTGGGGCAGGCCGCTGAAGGCCTCCAGTTGACATTTGGTGATGGTTATACTGGGTTCTCTCAGGTCCAGCTCTAATACTATAAAGAACACTGGATTCCGAGCCAAGAGTATGCATTGCTCTGCTACTGAAGAGCGTGTGATCTTAGGAAAATCATTATTTTTTAAATGACTGAGATATAACCCACATACTACACAATGCATACAATTCACCCATTTAAGGTGTACAATACAATGGATTTAGTATATTCATTGAGTTGTGCAAACATCAGTACAATTTTAGAACATTTGAATCACCCCAAAAAGAAACCCCACACCATTTCGCAGTCACTCCTTTTTCCCCAACCCTCCCAACCCTTGCGCTTCTCCTCACCCCTCACGGTCCCTCTAACCACTCCACCCCCAGCCCCGAGGGATCACCAATCTATTTTCAGTGTCTGTGGGTTTGGGGGCAAATTTCTGAATCTTTCCGTGCCAGTTTTTTTCTTCTACAAAATGGGGACAAGAATGGTACTATTAGTGCTAGGGTAGTTGAGAGGATAAACGAAAACTGACGGCCATCGCCACGGTTGTATGAAGAGTCTGACGTAAGGCTCAGGCCGCTCAGGTCCCAGAGTCCGCCTCTTCCACCGGGACTCAAGCTGCCGACAGTAATCCCACGCTTTTCCCCGACACGCCCTGAGGTCTGTCTCCAAGGCAACGTCAAACTTTCAGGGATTCCTTTCCGGGGCACAGAGCTGATTCCAACCCCTTCTCTTTCTTGCCTCACCTGCTGGCTCTGCTGGTCGCCGCCAGAGGTTCCCGCGGGGCTCCCCACAGTCATCTTATCAGCCCGGCAAAGACAGAAGCGGCGTTGACGGCGGAGGGGGCGACGTGGGCTACACGGGACAAGTTCCGCCTCTTTCTAGCCTTGGCCTCTGACTGGCTCCCAGAAACCAGTCCTCTTCCCAGGGAGCCTCTTGTTCATCTCGCCCAAGTAGCCTAGGATCGCTTTCTGATTGGTCTCATCCCTTTGCGCTTCTAGTTCCGGTCATGCGGCAGCGGCTGAAGCGGCGAGTGGTTGGAGGGCTCTGCTCCGGAAGTGCTAGCGCAGGAGGGCCTAAAGGGGCGCCGGGGACGGCGCGCGACTACACGATGGCTGCTCGGCTGGCTGCGCGCCGTTTGTGGGCTACACATGCAGCTGCTGGGAGAGGCCCGCTGGTTTCCTGCCGGAGGTGGTCCGGCGCCTCGGCAGACACCGTATACGATGTGGTGGTGTCAGGAGGAGGCCTGGTGGGCGCCGCCATGGCCTGTGCCTTGGGTAAGCGCGTTTCCAGGCCTGCATTGGAAGCCGCGGGGCCGTGGAGGAGCGTGAGGACCGAGGGAGCTCTGCACTGTTGTCCAAGCCTTGAGCGTTGCGCATGTTGAGGGCCATTCCCTACCCAGAGGAGCCCTAGAGCAAGCGTTTGCACCTTTAGAGTTCCGAAGGGTCAAAAGTGGGAGGGGCTTTATGATTCATTCCAAGGCGTGGGGATGACCCACTAAGGTTATTCTGTTACGCGCACACTTGGAAAGAATCAGGTCTTGTTAGATTGGGCTGGGGTTTTTTTTTTTTTTCTTTTCAGTTTCATTATGTACTTTTATGTTATTTGAACAACAATAACTTATGTTATTTGTTTTAGTCTTTTTGAAAACAAGTAAACAAGTGGCAATTACTCACCATATGTTTTTATTTTTCATAGTGTTCATTTTTAAATATAAAGAAGTATAGGCTGTCATATCTGGAAGAGACCTAGAAAATACTGTGGGCTGTCCTGTCATTTTACAAATAAGAAAGCCGAAGTGTTTATAGATTAAATGACTTGCTCATAGCAACAGTACAAATATAGAAAAATGAGATTAATAAAACATGTTTGCTCTCTAAATTGATTTACAGTAAGTTTGCCTGGCCCAGGAAAGCTGTCTTTCAAGCACCACCCTGATGTATAAACCAAACTCTCAACAATTAAATTACTGCTTAAAAGGCAATATAGGGTATATGCCCCACACATTCTACTTTCCTGGCTCTGAAGACCAACTCTTTCAACGTCTTCCTTTGTTTGCCCCAGCAGCACAAAATTGACATAGATGCTCTAAGAATGCATCTGTTTATAGATGCAGTGATCGTTGGCCCCAGAATTCTCCTAGAGCATGGCACAGTGTACATGGATCATCAAACCAGATGAAATATATTATTAATATTAATGCTGTCAAACACAAATGGCAGATGTGTTCACATTTCAGTCCATTAGGTTTTGTGTCATTACTTTTTTTTTTCCCCCAAGTTTTAAAAAATTTATTTGTATTTGCTCTTTACATACTATAGACATGAATATTTGTAGGTATTTTTTTTCAATGATGATTATTCGTTTGATATTTATACTTGATTTATATGTGAATCCCACATTTCTCCCTTATTTTTATTATTATTATTTTTTTAATAAAATGCTGAAGTGGTAGGTAGATGCAAGATAAAGGTAGAAAACATAGTTTAGTGCTGT